ATATCTTGACAAGCGATCATCAATATTCAGGCCAGGGAAAAATAAATCCTTTTTGGAACAACAATATATCTGAAGAAGTAGAAACTATTTGCCAGATTGTTTTCACTTATAATGCACAGTGATTCTACTCCCTGACTTAACAAAACTTAGGCATATCTTCTTGAGATCGAATAGTGAATTATGATATCAGAAAACCACACATGATATACATATGGTTCTAACCTGGCAAACAAGAAGCTGCTTCTGGTATTGTAGCTTTGCCACCCGTTCTTTTAACTCTGTAACATAAGCTCTAATGCTGCGTATGTTTTCCTCAGCTGCATTCTTGAACATCCTCTGCACTTTCTTCACATCAACAGAATTTGCTTGCCGCACTGGAGTTCCCTCCCTTGATGAGATAGAGTTATTATTCCCATGACCCTTGATAGGGGTATCTACAAATGACTGAGGCAATGTATTGCTACAAGGCACCATATTGTTATTGTCAGGTGCCTTATTCTCAGTCTCATGTTCCATTATCTTCCGAGAAGAGGATAGCGGCGAGCACGGAGACCGTATTATATTTTGCATGTTTGCACTGTTATTCAAGGAGAAAGGACGCATTTTCTTCTTCTTGCATTGAGTCTTGAACTCTGGGGTCTTAGACTCTAGAATCTCCTCACTGTTCTGAAAAGATGAAACGAGAATGTCCATAGATTTCTGAACATTCTCAAGCTTCCTTTCTAAAGAAGCAATCACACTCCCTTGAGAGTTCAATCGAGTGAGTTCTTCCTTCAGGTTAGCTTTATCTCCAATGACTATATCTTCAGGAATAGAGCCAACTGCTTGTATGTCCTTAATATCAGACAACAGCCTCATTATGCTTTCAGCCGTTTCTTTGCTCCCCAGTCGATGGGAAGCGACCTCATTATGAAGTACTTCAAGTGCTCGATTTGCTTCCTCACCAAGCTGCCTTTGCCGTTGCTCAAGCTTCCGGATTTCATGCACAAGCATGGATGGATCTGTTGAATTAACTGACTGTCTCACCATTGCCTGTCTTCCAACAGCATTTCTAGGTCGAGTTTCTGAAATAGGTTTATTTAAAACTGTTTCATTTTCCACTGGAAAGGAAAGACACCTGGCTGTTTGAGAGGAAGGCCCACACTGGTTCGAACCCTGAAATTGTGATAGCCATAAGTTGACTGCGAACAGTGGAATTGAATTTATATACTTCAGTCACACTAAAGTACCTTATGCTCTTTATGTGCCTTTCTTTCTAGTTCCAGTTGGGATTGTGCGAGGTCTCTTTGACGCTTAAGCTCTTTCATTTCTCTCTCCATCTGCAATTTTATTTATTTCACAGAGAGCAAACAACAAGAAAAAGTTAAACAGAGAAAGAGGATGGTTCTTCTCATCACATATCTAGCTTTCTCTTTTTAAGCTAAAAAACAGAAACATTTCCGTATCAAGCAAAATAAGGAAAAATATATACATTGATGGCAGAGAGTGAAAGATATAATTATAGTAAGTGGTTTGTTCTTGTGTATATTCCAAGAAAATAAAAAAATGATGCCAGACCTACATGGCCGTAGAAGCAACCTTGCTATTTAACATCTAAAATGAGCAAACAAATTTAAGAAAACGTGTGCAATAGCAAACATAGATTTGTTGAAATTCCTAGATACGTAAAATAAACTGAAAAATGTCGCACAAAGGGGTGTCTAGACCCAAGTTGTCAATTGTTCCAAAGCCACAATTGTCTCTTGAGGTAAAGAAGTGACTTTTTTTTTTTTTTTTTTTTTTGGTATGATTAATAACAAAACAAACTTACCTGTTGAATTTTCTGCTCCTTTTTCATTAACAGAGACCTGAAGCATGAGGAGGAAGAAGGGTCTGGACTTCGTAACTCAGCTTCAAGTCTGGCCACTTCCTTCTGCAAATGCTTTACCAGTCTCTTGTCTGAAACAACCTGAAAGAAAAATATCGTCCCAACTTAGAGAGGCATCAACAGTGTAAGGTTTGTATATTTAGTGACAACCATGGAGAACCAGCCATGCAAAAACTAGTGTTTTGTTACATGACATTACCAGAATTGCTGTTAAAAGTTAAAAGGTTAATGGGAAACACCAAGTATATTTTAAATGAGAATACAGAGGGCTCACCATTAGTCCCATACATAAAAGTGCAAAATAGTAAAATATTTCCAAATCATTAAAATAAAATAAAACTAACTTGTGATGGATTGAAGTACTATACCATGTTCACTTTGGCATTGTTGGTAACTTCCTTTGCACTACTTGCAAATGAGAGTGTATTCCTTGTTTGCTCCACATGACTCAAAGAGGGACTGATAGTACATATAATTGCTGTTCGAGCATTTCCACCAAGTGAATGCTGCAATATTCGAGTAAGTTTTGAATCTCTATAAGGTATGTGACTGCTCCTTTTTCCACCACTGCAAACAGAAAAAACAAACAAGACAATGAATCCTAGACAGTAAAATTTGGACCAAAATACCGTCAACCTAAGGCATTGGCTATATGCTGGTTGTCAACTTGTCATGGCTAAGGTAAAGTACAATATACAGAATCTATATCAGAATGAAACAACAGTACAGAAAATTACAAACATCATTTTCCAACCCCTATGCACACGTGAAATTTGCTCCATATCTCATAATCAAAATTTGACTAAATTTCTTTATAGCATAATCCAGATTGATAATATTTCAACATTCCATTTGATCATCACAAACACACTAGTAGGCAGATCCTATATCATTCAATATTTTTGTTCATTTAGATAATCCAATATCAAGTTCACAGAAGATCTTTGCAACAAACCAGCCATTAAAGAACTCACCAGACCACTGCAAGAAAACTTAAATAAATATTATGTGACAATTCAAGTTTTTACTAGATCTTCTGCTCTTTGGCAAACTGAACTTTCAAATTTTATGGCTCTTGCAAAATAAAAAAAGTAGACAACACAATACTAGGACACAAGCCATGCAGACAGTATATATGACTGAATGGCATCCTAGGGGAGCTTCAAGCCCCTAATGCAACCAAAACAAGGAGTTTCACTATCATCCTTTTGCTCTAGCTCACCTCAGCTTTCTGATAACTGTTGTAAGTGTCAACAAACTACGGTTAATGTGACTGCCTTCCTTAAGTCTTATTCCATCCGCATTTGTTTGAGAGGCACGTTCACTTCCCGCAAGGTCCACAAGATTCTGTAAATTTTATAGCGCTTCAACCAACATAACTAAACTCTTGCTGACACAAGAATCTTATATAAGATGAGACATACCAAACTTGCTAGGAATGACTTTACACGGCCTGAATTTTCCCGAAGACTGCTCTCGATGGTCTGAAATAGGCGTGATCCATCAATAGAACGTGTTAGCACTATGCTTGCATATAAACCAAAAATGTAATACATGGCCAAACCAGAAAAGTAACATGTGATTACAATTAAAAAGAACTCCACCTCCACGATGATTGCCAGTAAACTGTAAAATGAAGGAAACGAAAGAACTAGTTCATGCTTGCATTGACATAAAGAGTTAGCGAAAGAAAATTACTAACTCAACAGAAATCTTATTAGCTGTGATTTCAGCAATAATTTGATTAATCAAATTGATTTAGTGAAAATTTCAAAGAAAGAGGAGGTCTAAATGAACCAAGAAGTATGTAAACATGGTTGGTCCCCGCCAATTGACCATTAAAAGATGGTTCCAAAGAGGCATTAAGGTCTACAGATTACCAACAAATTGAAAATTCCTCGTTCTTACCCCTGATTAAATGTTTAATAAGACCAAATGATAGAAACTAGCTCAGACCTAAAGCAGCCATAATTAAAAAGCTGAATGAAAATTATGTCTTGCAAATGATAGATGCTGTTACAGCTTATTGCAAACACTAAAGCAGCCATACTAAAATGCTGAATGAAGTTTATGCACCATGTGAGAAAAATTAAGAAAATTTTATCTAAACATATTAAGCTTACCAGTCTGATTATCTGATGTGATCTTGAGCTATTATCATTTAAAGCAGTTTCTCCCACTTGCCTTTGAGCTGCAAAGGAAAACATTTTCGATTTGCAGGTTACACTAGTCAAAACAGTGAAGTTGATTGTAGAGTTATGTAATTAAACCAAAATGAGTTTAATTTTATCAACAATTGGAGTAGACATAAAACATAGCATCACCATAAATACTTGAAAGAAAAAATTACAGCTCACATGACAGCATTGGACATTCAATAGCTAACCAAGCTCACTCAACTGAATGCTATACTTCTTTAGAATTTCTTTCTATTAGGAAAAAGAAAAGCATAAAAATCAACAGCCTACATTCTATAATCCTCTTTATTAGCAAGAAAGCTATTATGAAGACATGATTCTTTCAATACCTTCACAAATGCCAATTAAGTGCCTTAAATGTTGGCTGTCTTGAACAACTTCTTCAACTAGCTTTTCCACAATGGTCCCTTTCTGCATATGGAAACAATATTAAGAACAAGAGTTAATATTGAAATGTAAAAGAACCACTAGGAAATTACTGGTCAGTTGAGAAAAAAAATACCCTTATGTACCTCAGGATCATCCAAAAGCCGCAAGGAACTAGACTCATGATTCAAAAGGTCTACTACAGTCTCATTGTAGATCTCCAAAGCAGAAATTTTCAAAACAAAATCCCTCTCCTGATTCTGTAAGAGTAATACACAACAAGAGCAAGTATAGACTCAGCTAAAATTTTACTTAATCCAAACTATTTGATCTCAAGCCATTGTTCTATGCTAAGATTTGAATTATGAAGAAGTTCACCTAATATATATCAGGTAATATGGTGAAAATTTAGCTGTCCATGCATGGAAATTTCTCCAGTATCTTAACTTAACATGATATCATGTAATTCAACTTGTACAGCATCTTGCAAATCTGACTACAATAACCTAAAATGATGTGAAATATACTTACATTTTTTATGTGTTCATAGATGTCCTTAATTGCATTTTCGGATATTCCTCTCATGGTGAATGTCTTACCACTACCAGTCTGGCCATATGCAAAGATTGTTGCTGCAAATTGTATTCATAACAGAAAAAAAACTTTTAATTTTTTCCCAAAATAATATAAAAAATCTTAAAAAGAAATCATTACAAGGTGCATAATTATCAGAACAGTAAATAATTATGCATAGTTACCATTAATTCCCGTTAGAGCAGATAAGGCAACATCCTTAGCTCCTTCTTCATAAACCTTTTGAGTTGAACAGGCAGGCTCAAAAACTTTATCTGTCACGTATACATAACAGTAAACTAAAAATTCAACTAACTAATTAAATTGCACAAGAAACTAGAAATCAAAACCAGTATTCTCTAAAAGCACACTCCAGATTCCACTCTCCTAAATCTATTCAGTTACATCAAACCAAATGTTATTCTTTAAACCTCCTCTAGTTAATAGTCATTGACACTGAAGGTGGGACTAGTTAAACACAGGGGAAACATACCAAAGGTGTAGGGGATCGTGGGCCGTTCATGGTTTGGATTCTTGAAAACAATCTTCTGGTCGTCTATGCAATCCCAAGCGATGAGATCATACATGGCTTGTTCTTTCCGGTTCAATGGCCTCATACGAACAGTAACTAATATCTTCTCCTCGCTAACTTTTGGACCACCTGGAGTACATGAAGGGGTCCTTTGTATCTTACATAAAGGTGTGGCTGGTGTCCCAACCATGTTTATCCCTAAGTATCCCCTGAAGTCCAAAATCAAAATGGTATATGTTATTGGTAATTAGAACTCAGATTGAAAACCATGACTAACAATTTTGTCATTACCAAGGAAACCATCCCTTATTATGGCTAAAAGAATTTGGTTTTTTCATTCAAATTTTAGCAGTTCGCTTGCATTGTAGTATAAAAAAGGATTTGATTAGAGCAAATCTAATAAAAAGTTTATAATTACAGGAGATAAATTATGGCCGTGCTTTATGCTTAATAAGCATCATTAAATCCTTCATAAAAAATATACTCTAAGATTATCAATATAAAATCAAAATGAATTTAATATATTCTATTTTTGTCTTTCCTTTCTTATAAATAACAAATTAAGCTAGAGTAGACACAAAACATCATAAATTATACTATGTCAGCATTATTAAGTCCTTTAAAAAAAAAGAAAAAAAAAGAAAAAAAAATGCATCAAGAAACTTATAAACGGAGAACTAGATCAATTCTTGCACATTCAACAAATTTCGCCTAAAGAAACAGAAAAATTAAAAATGAAAGAGATAAATATTTAACTAAACTAAAATCACAGAAACTTCTTCAACTTGCAAGAAGTACATTTCTCTCTCTCTCTCTCTCTCTCTCTCTTTTCCTTTGTATTTTTGAACAATCCAGCAAAAATCACCTGAAAAAAGACAGTAAATAAACAACGAAAATGCATCACTTACAGTCAAATCGAAGTGTTAAAAGATTCAAAAAGAGAGACGAGGCGCGTGAGTTCTTGAAAACCGGCCGCCCTGAAATCAAGAAGTCAGTGAAAGGAAGGTGTAAGGACACCAATTCCGTCTTTCACATGAGAAGTTGAGTGAAGGTGAAGATGAAAATTACTGCACTGTTCTCTGAGGTTTTTGAGTTGAAAGTGATTGACAGAGAGAGAGAGAGAGAGAGAGAGCGGGCATTGAAGAGAAGTAACGGATATGTTTTCGTTTTGTTTTTATTATTATTTTTCTGTTACTTTTCCCGTTCTGTGCGCGCACCAGAAGAGAGAGGCGTCTGACATTTTGAATTTAAAGGTTCGATCGCCAGGCACGTGTGCCAATCAAATGCTACAAGGTTTTATGGGCTTATTGGGCTCAAAAGATAATTTAATAGGCCCAACTGAGCTCCTGGACCTTGATTTTTGTTTTTCGTAAAAGATATTTAATGATTTATGAGTTTCATATCTTCTCTATTTTTCATACCAATAACTATTTGCAATGAGAGGTTTAGCTAGAATATTTACATTTAAAATATTTTTTTTAATTGTATAATGGTTTTGAAATAACTTGTTTCTTAATAATGAACCTAAATAATCTTCTACATGCAATGCATGAAGTATAAAAACTGTTACATGTAACTGGAAAAAAAAAAAAATATATATATATATATATATATATATATTCAAGAGTCATATTTTGATAGCATTTAACCTAAAAGGAAAAAAAAATCTTCAAGCAACATACGAATATAATTAAAGAAAAAGAGTTCTAATGTTAGAGGAAGTGGATGTGGAGCCCATTCCCAATAGGAAAAGGTCCAATTCAAATAAAAGCCCAAGGAAAATGTGAGAAATCCATGAAAAAAAGCAGGTGAGATAAGAAACAAAATGTCAAATGAAAATAACCCAATGGGTTGATCTGACAATCAAAGAGATTTATTCTATTTGTTGAGCTTTTGGATTCAAACTTTAGGGTTATTGTGGTTTACCTAATTCTTTAGATTTGTAAAGTATTCAAAGGACCTCGAAAATTAGTTGAGGTACGCACAAATTAAATCGAACAACCCGATTACCCAAAAAAAAAAAAAAAAAAAAAAAGATGTCTGATGAAAAAGTAACCAAAGTTCCCTCCCAAAATATCTTGTGTATGAAGTTTTAACTTTGTGGGAAGTCTCCATTTTTTCATAACACATTTACGACTCTTTGTATTTTCCTGCTCAACACACACAAATCACGAATCTATTCTGAAAAATCATTGACAGAGTTCAAAACTCTTTCAAATTACAACTACTTTTGCTTCTTTTGATTGTATGAAGAGTTTTCAGAAATAAAAAAATAACTAAAAATTGTTTTTAGAAAAAACATGTGATAGATGATTTTAACAAAGAAGTGTTTTGGCATTTCCAGAAGCATGTAACCAGAAACTAAAACCAAATTTCTTTCGACTTCTTGAAGCCTGCAATGGTGTTGGTATTGACGAATGTGAGAAGATGTATCCATCTTACACTCTGTTTAGTTGGTGGATGGTCATTGGTTTGGTAGGGACTTCGTCATTTACTATAAGCACTTTCTCAATATTAAAATAAACAGAAGACCTTTTCTTTCATTTTCAAATTTTTACCTTTATCATTTTTTATAATTAATAAAACTTGTTTTCTCGTAATTACAGTATCATTATTATAAAGAATTCTTAAAGTTATATAACTAAATAATTTACTGATTTTAAAAGTGTTCTTTTTACTAACAATTTAAAGGACAACAATATATATTTTGTTAGGGACTAAACTTTAATTATGATCTCATTTCTCAACTTTATTATAAATTCTATTTTTTTCAAATTTTTTTTAGATATTATTATGTACTTCAAAATTTCGGAAACTATTAAAAATCCCCTTATAATTATTGAAAACCCTATGACAAGGGAGAATTTTTAATAATTAAAGGGTGTTTAAAAATCAACGAGGATTAATGGTTTCGGAAAATTTTGGGTATGCTTCATATTAAACAATCTCACAAAAGGTATATAAAATAAACCTCTACATGAAATTTCAATTCTAAGTTTTATAGGTGTTGTGTGTGATTTTTCCGCCAAGCTCGGGCCAACTCGAAGATATAGCTCGATCCAGAATGAGCTCGACAACTATGATTGATCGACCAAGCATAAGCTTGTCGAGCTATAGCTCGACTCAGCATAAGCTAGTCGCGAACAATTCAATGAGTCATTCAATCAATCCCCAGATTACTTCAAATCCCAGATATTGCGGGAAAGACTGGATCAATGGTGATCACTGCATAATCACAGCGCCCGATCGTGAGGATATCGGAATTATGATTCAAATAAGTTGTAATCCCCTAAATTTCGTTTTTTCCTTTGTATCAATCTTGTATATAAACTCTCTCAGACAATGAGGAGGGGGTTTACGAATTTTAGATAAAAATCGCATTGTAAGCTCTCACAACAAATACAAATACACAGTGGATATAGGCTGTTAACCCGGCCGAACCACTTTAAAAATCTCTTTGTTCTTAGTTCATTTCATTCATATTCATTGTTGATTTTCACTAATCATGCAAACATCAGTTCCTATCTCGACAAGGTCGATCGGATCACACTGGTTGGTACATAATTTTGTATCAACATTTTGGCACTAGAAGGAGGACCTCCGCCAATATTTCAAATATTTTGGCAAACGTTCACCGCAATTTACATGTTCCAAGGCCACAGTGGTGTACACCAGATCGAAAACTACCACCGGAAATCATGAGAACGTGGAAACAACCCACCAAAAGGTGCAACAAGAGAACGTTGGACGTCGACCACCTGTGTCACCAACTTAGCACACCGCAAACAACCAAGGGGCAGGGACGTCAACCCCTTAGAACAACCAGCTAATGGAGATGATTAGGACAATGGTTGCACAGGCGGTGCAACAAAACGTGGCTGAGCTGAGGAACCAACAACCCCTTGCCCAAAACCACGACCAGCCGCATTTCGCCAACGCAATCCCAACAGGTATGAATTCTGCAGGTGGACAGTCTATTTCTTCACCGCCAAGGGCCGATCAACACCTCCAACCTCGCAAGCAGTACTCCACACACAAGCATGAGTCTCGCGGGAAAACAAACCCTGGGAGGCGGCCGAGGAAACAGCCGTTAAGGAAAGTGAAGGGGACGAATACCACGGAGAAGCTGGACGATATCCCCAACATCAGCGTGTCGGTTTTAACCCACGCCCAAGACAAGATCGATCTTCTCATGCTCGCAAAGTGGGTCTTGTGCGTCAATCTAGCAATGACCGACGTTCCAGTTATGACCGACGTAGCGAGCAACGCACTAACGAGCATGATAGCACATATCAACCCAGCCATCATGACTCGACCTCGCGCATCAATACACATGCCAGAGGAGCTTCGCAAGCAACAAACTTGCGGACTCATTTGCTTGAGGTGAGACTTAACAGAGCCAGCCAGGGCAACCAAAATGAAGACTTAGATCACATGCAGTAGATGCTTGATGATCTAAAAGCTCGCTAGAACAACCTGGCGGAGGAATTAATAAGTTTTTCCTTTACGGAGGAAGTTCGTCAGGCCCCGCTCCCACAAGGGTTCAGAGTGCCCGAAAGCAAGTTTAACAGGAGAAAGAATCCCAGAGACCACCTCGACAACTTCAATGACCTAATGGAGTTACACCAGGTTAGTGACTTAGCGAAATGTTGGTGCTTTGCAGTCACATTAATCAAAGATGCCAAGAGGTGATACAAAAGGCTCAAGGCGAACTCCATCAACTCCTAGCAACAATTCTCCTCGCTGTACTTACAATAATTTCAGGCGAAGAGGCAGTTCGCGATGCCGCTTAGCTACTTGAGCAACATTCGCCAAGAGCGAGATGAATCATTGACCTAGTATTTAATAAGGTTTCAGAACAAGCAAGCAAAAGTCGCTGACGCCCTCAAAGAATCCATTCGAACTTTGCTAATTGCAGAGATCAGACCTAACACAGAGCTGTGGAAAGAGCTCCAAAGTGAAGATCATGTGAGTCTAGCCAAATTCTACCAGATGGCCGCGAAATACCAGCGAGTGGAGAGCTCGCTGGCAGCGCTACCTAGAAGCTCAACGTGAGGGGTCTTGGACAGGAGACAAGATCACTCCTCAGATAAGTGTGAGGGTCAAGATCGCAACGACAGGGATCGAAACATGTCCCAGAAGAAACAAAGGATAGATAACCGCAATGACAGGCAACCTTTCCCACAGTATGCAGAATACACCTTTCTCACTCAAGACATCGCCCACATCTATGAAGTGTCCTGAGAGGGGAAGAGATTGCTCACTCTAGAAAGGATGAGGGGAGCTCTAGGCAGAAAAGAC